GTTAGTGACATACTACGATTTCTAGTCTAGCTCAGGTTCACAAAGGATCAAGAAAATTTGAAAACCCAACACACACAAAAAATTTGGAACAATTGTATTGCCTTTCCTTGCCTTTTGTTTATCACGTTAATATTTTCCTATATCTTCGCACTGGTCACAGATACCTATTGTGATTGTCAAGCCATGTGGTCTCATCTGAGAATGTGTGCACAATGCATCGCCGGGAATCCTTATCGGCCATCAGATTTTGAAGGTCGTTAATTTGTTGGTTGATGTCCCTTGCCACACAGTCAATAAACTTAAGGGGTCTTCTTCCTCTGCATGTGCATGGAAGCTCAACCAGATGACAGCAGGGATGGTTTGATCCTTGGTGGGAACACTTACTTAAAATATACAAATTTATTCAATTCAGATATGGAATTAAATTTGTTTAATTCATGACAGATAGCAGGGGCGAATTTAGGGGAGCCGGGCCGGCCCCGGACTTCCCCTTTTGGAAAGTAAAAAAAAAAGAAAAAAATGATCACCTAAAATGCCTCAGCGGTTATTTTTGAACATCTAGAACACAAAAAAGACACCCTAGACTAGAGTTATCTCAATCGGTCCCACTTTTGCCCCCCCCCCTCTTTTGGACATCTCTGGATCCACCCCTAGATAGTACATTTTTTAAGTGTTTGATTTTGTTAATGTGAAATTGAACATAATGTATTTTACCTTCCATCATTGACATTTCGTCTGTGATAGCAACAAATGTTTGAAAAAAATTGCCAATTTTTCTTATTTTTTTACATCTCATAATGTTTATTTAATTTTTAAGATTATATGCAAATTCGCAAGACTCGTATAAACTTGAGGTTCCGAACCCTGATCGCCGTGACAGCAGCTCAAGTAATCATACGTCACCGGAGACAACACCTGTCAACACACATTACCTTGACAACCAGGAGGATACTCATGTCTTTATGTTACCTGGCTTGAAGGTGAGGTGGAAACAAGTGGAGGTGGTATAGAGGAGGTGTGGTGGTAGTAGTGTTGTTACAGGGTTGGTGGCAGTGTTTGCAATTGTGGTAATGGTGTTAATGATAGTGTTTGTAATGAGGGTCATAGTGATGGTGATAAAGGTAGTGATAGTTAGGTAGTGGTTGTGATGATGATGGTGGTGGTGGTAGTAATAATGATGGTGGTATTAGTGGTGCTGGTGATGATGATGATAGTTTCTGTGGTGGTGGTGGTGGTAATGAAGATGGTGAAAATGATGGTGGTGGGGATGATGATGGTGGTGGTGTTGGTGGGGATGATAATGGTGGTGGTGCTGGTGATGATGATGGAGTAGTGATAATGATTGTGGTGTCAGTGATGCTGGTGATGATGATAATGGTAGTGATGATGATGGTTTTGGTGGTGGTGGTAGTAGTGGTTGTTGTGATGGTGGTGGTACTGATGATGATGGTGGTGATAATTGTGGTGGTGGTGATGACAATGACGATGGTAGTGATGATGATGGTGGGGATAATGGTGACTGTGATGCTGGTGGTGATGGTGATGGTGATGGAGATTTTGGTGGTGGTAATGATATTGATAATCACAGTGGCTATGGTATTGATGATGATGATGATGATAATACTATAGCGGATGATGTCTATAATGATGATAACCTTGACAATGATTATGATGATGATAATGAGGGTGATGTTTATGATGTTGATATATACAGTTTGGCCTCAATTTGAGAATACTTTGTGACCTGAAAATTTGTGGTGGGTTTGGGTTTCAGTCTTCATGTAAAGGGTTAGCAATTGTGTTAAAGAATTGACAATTGTTTGGTTCTTTGAAAAAGTGGTCTTGGAATAAGAGGGGTCTTGAATTGGAGGGTGCATTGTATGTTATATTTTTATTATTAAAATTTATACTGTATCTCTCTTATTGTATAATTTTTTTTAATTCTTCACAGGGAATTGGACCACCTTGCACCTCACCAGATGACACCAAACACGACATCGTTTACACGGAATTATCCCATGGCAACACTCCTAGCAACACCCAAGCTACGCCCAAGAAAGACTTGTCCTCAAAAGTTGACTATGTTGATCTTGACCCTGAAAAAACACAAGCTTTGAAAAAAATAAAAGACTCGAGAGATAGTGAAAGACAGTAGGGGACACTAAATGAAATTCGGATGTCATTGAAATTGGATTTCTTGTGATACTGGTTTTTAACCGCGACAGAGGAAAACTATTGGAAAAATATATTTTATTTGTAAAAAATCCTGGCATTTATATGAACTGTATAACTAGCATTTTACGAAGATCGTATTTTAAGGGAACTCATCAATTAAGGACACCTGTTAATATTCACACACCAGCCGTGGAATTAGTTGACCTCTGCGAACACAGGAAGTTCAAGGCCTAAGAGATTACGAAAGAAGCCAATCAGCTTTTAACCTCATTTTAAATTATGTACATCGTAAATTTTGATTGAAAATTAGAAAACATGAGGCACAAATGATGAATATAATGACCTGTGTTTTTTTTTTAATTAAAAATATGATTTGTCTATATATGGACATGATCATGTCATCTCACATCCATATATGGGCAAAGCATATGTATTTGTCAAGTGTGAACAGAGCCTTGTGTGTGTATGTGTATTGGGGAGGGGTGTGTGTTGATGTGTGTGTGTGTTAGTGCATACTAGCTACTGATTGTAAAAATATAAATCAACCACAATCATAACATTCATAATTATAAAAAAATAGTAATTCCATGTTAATATGTAAATGTTTTATATATATGTGGGAGGGAATTAAGTGGAGAGGGGTAGAAATGGGAACTATGGGAAAAGACCAAAGCAGAAAGGATCAAAGAAGGGAGGGGTAAAGAAGGGTTGGAAACGCAAGTGAGGTAAATTAAAGGTAAACACAAAAGGGTTGTGGGGAGAGGGTGATAGTAGAGATATAAAAGTGCAAAAACCAGAAAGAAGAGATAAAGACCAAAGGAAAGAAAGGAAAAAGGTGTAGTTATTTTAAGCAAATACATAAGATACATTCAGTCTAACTGTTAAACGCTGTCCACACTATCAAATTGCATATGACAAAATACCTGTGATTTACCTATGTACAGTATAGGCATGTCATTACACCATCATGCCCATATAAGGGGCGTGACATTACACCATCATGCCCATAATATTGGTGTGATATAAATCATCATTCGGATCCCATGTGTGTGATATTACATCACTATGATCATATATATGTGTGATATTACATCATCTTTCTCATACAGATTATGGGTGTGTTATTACATTACTATGCCCATATATAGGTGTGATATGACATCATGCCCATATATGGGTGTGATATTACATCATGCTCATATATTGGTATGATATTACATCATCATTCCCATATATGAGTGTGATATTACATCATGCCCATATATGGGTTGGATATTGCATTATCATTCCCATATATGGGAGTTATAATTATTACATCATCATACTCACATATAGCTGTGATACTGCATCATCATACCCATATATGGCAAAATCACAGATATTTGTCACTGAAGGTTTAATAGTTTGGACCAGGCATTAATTAAGATTGTTGTAAGTTTAGATACATATTTTAAGATTTTAATTCCATAGCAATGTGTCCAAATAATGAACTTGTTAATATGAACATTTCCATAAGCATCTTTTGATGTTTTTATTATTGTTTTTTTTTATTTTGTCAGTGAGGTTTGATGTATGGTTAATGAAAGTTGCAAGCAATTATTATATGCTGCAACATATCATTATTGAAAGTAGAATAATATGTTTTATTATTTCTAACCATACATTGAAATGAAGATATAATATTTTTAAAATGAATGACTATAGACCAAAATTAAAAAACAAAATATTTTAAAGTATTGGTTGTGATTATTGATGTGGTTAAGTTTTAATATATTAAGTAAGGTTATTGACTTAAGAGGTTAAAACATGCTCAATTAATATTCCTTTGTATTACTTTATATAATATATAAGTTGAACCAACTCAGTTATAAATAACATATTCCAGCGAAATTGTAGCAATTTTATGACTATTTTGTCGACATAGATAAAAACATATATAGCAGTGATGTTATGAAGCCAAATAAAATATTTTAATTCCAGATTTCAGTATTTGTTTACAGTTTGGTCACTTTTTCATGCATTAAATGTGAATATTTATATACATGAGTGCTATCTCATTACACAATTAGTTTTTTGGAGACCAAAACATATTACAGGTCCCCCTCTAATTAAAGACCCCTCCAATTTAAAATTGCCTCCAATTAAAGAGCACTTGTCTGTGGTCCCAAATGAACAAATGTATTGTATCTTTATTATTCTAATTAGAAACTAAAGATCTTGCTATGGTAACCCCGGTCCCAAAATTGGTATTTAATTGGAGGGAGACCTGTATTTATTATTATATACATGAGTTAGATCTCATTACACAATGATACTTTTTGGTCCAGAGACCAAAACTGGGTACAGTATTTCGACCATTTTTTTGAGGCACAAGGGCTAAGGATATGCCAGAAAACTGAATTGTTTTTTTAAAGTCAGGCTCTGGAGGGAAAAAAAAAAAAAAAAAAAAAAATTCTTATATGTTGTAGAACTGGTTTTTCCCAGTTCTTTGTCAAACAACTTTTTTCTGCCTTGGAAAAATCAGATCTACAACATATCAAAATGTTTTTTTCCTCCGGAGTCTGACTTTAAATAGCAATCCCTTCACAGGACAAAGATGCTGTACATAGATTAAATTTCATTATGAGGTCTGGGAGTGAAGTTGATTTTGGTCGTAAAAATAAAAAAAATCCTAAATCCTGTAACTGTAACAGAAATCGAACCCAGGACTTCCGGTATTGGAAGGCAAGCATCTTAACCACCAAGCTTTTGTACTTCATCCAGTTCATAATATTTAACATTCACAACATTCATTTAACAACTTAAATCTTGTTGTTGCCATATCTGGAAGTGGAGATTTTAAAGGATCTAGGCCAGATTATCGAAACCCAGTTTGCCGAATGCCAGATTGCCGAGTCCACTTTGCCAAATGGCAGTTTGCCGACTCAAAAACCATGCATCCCAGTTCACCAAAAGTCAATTAAAAGCAGTAAAAACATTAACGACAGCATAAAATGCTTGATCCTCCATTCCATTTTATTTCTATTTTTTACTGATAGCCATGCCTTCAAGTGTGTTTTTCCACAGCATTGTTGTTTTCCATTATTTTGCCTTTCAATTTGTATAAAAATACGGCTTCTCCCCGACTCACCCATCATTTTTCAAGAGCACAGTATGATGTACTTAATGTACGATGGTGACGGCAAGATTCAGCAAAGTGGGTTTTGTCAAACGGAGTTTTGGCAAACTGTGTTGCTATGTTTACACTGAACTGGATTCAATTGTTAAGCTGGATTTCGGCAAGCTGGATTTCAACAAACTGGTCGGGTCCCATCATGAAAAGGTATGGACAATATGGATTTCTTTCTTTATAGTTTATAGTACTTACTCGGGTATAAGCCCACACCTTACTTTACGCCAAATTTTACATAACAGGGTTTCTTTCTGCAAAAGCCCAGGGTAAGTTGGAATGTGTAGTCATCTGACTTCAGCTACACTTTCATGGTTTTGGTTTGGTTATGGTTTTCAATTAGGCATCCTTACAATGTACCTTTCTACCCCACATCTTAGATATTGTTGCTAAATTCCCTCAAAACGACAGTGTTAAAGCATACGCAAACACGTGCGTTTTTGGGGCAACACGTGTATTTGTTGGACGCGCGTATTCCCAGAGCTGTTGAATAGCCAGTTCTTAAGCTTAGCACTCGGGAAAGGTCTATAGACCTTTCCGGAGTGTCAGTCAAACTTAACAACTGACTAATCAGAAAAACGCTAGGAATACGCGCGCGTCTTACAGACACGTGTTTTGTGCCACAAACGCACGTGTTCGTCGTCTTGCGGGACCTTAGCAACAGTATCCAAGGGGCGGGGCTTAGCGGAAAGGTCCATTGTAGGACCTAGGCCTATTATCAGGGTTTTTTTTTTTTTTGGAAAAGAGGATTCTCCCACCCAGCAAACCTACCCATAATTGTTCATCAATTCACGGGCACATACATAGCACATGTTCTCCTGCATTTTAATTTTAGCAGTATTCATTTATTTATAAAAGATTTTAGTAGGTTACAAAAAACCTTAATGCTTGAAGTTAGAAGAATCAACCACAGGGGTACATACATTTTCTCTGAAGCTTTTAATATCTTTTTTTTTCTGTAAAATTGTAACAATTCAGTTTTTTACTACAAGTGCAATTATTATGAATAAAATACCATTAGGATTGGACGAATCGTAAATGCCTAGCAGTCTACATTTTTTAACGTATACTCGATATACGTCTATGGTCCATACGGTTATTTATCAATATCTGTCCTTTACTAACGACATAATAATGGCTTTTGTTGATTTTTGTACTGGAATAAATGACTTGTTCCCTTAAACCAGGACAGAGTCGAACATTGACTTTTCAAGAAAATCTGTAATTTAGTTTTCAGGCCATCACAGTATCGATTTTAAGATCTTTGTTATTAACTATCTAAATGTCATTGAAAGAATTTTTGGAATAAATCACTACGAGTGAAGTCAAGCGTATCCTACAACATTGCATCATTGTTTTTATTTACTGTACTAATTCTTAGTATCAATGGTGACTAATGAAGCATACATTTTAAAGGCAATTAAATATCATTTTAGAGGCTGGATCTCGGTAAGATACAAAATTGATAAGTAACAGCAAAATAGTAAACGTAAACAGCCAGAAATAGAACTAGGGCTTTCGGACAACACTAGTACTTCCTCAGTGGCGAGTGAGTGAGGGTTCGAACGGCACGCTCGCCTCTGGTTCTGGTGGTAGAACAAGTCTTCTCGGATAAGGACTATAAACCGTAGGCGCATATCATAGGCGTAGATCCCGGGGGGATGGGGATATATCTCCCCAATATTTGACAAGGGGGATGGTCCATTGTATCACCACCCCCCCCCCCCCCAATATTTTGACTCTGTATGGGATAAATTAATGGAGCTTTACACACTTCGAAAAACTGTCACAGAAATAATTTGCACTGTCTTATTGCGCTTACAAAGATGAAAATTAGCATAATGTATTAATGTTGATAACAAAATTATTTTATCTGGTACCAATTTAAGCTCTTCTTTCCTTAGATGTTAGATGTGCTTGCAAA